ACAGATAAAAATATATACGGCGTCGTATAAATTTGCTACCTGCAATGTATGTAGAAAATTCGCTCGGCTTTTTATCGAGTATGTTACATTAAAATCGGATTTCAATTTATTTCATTCTATTTCATTCGATCGCTTGCGTTCGTCGCTCGTAACTCGTCCCTTGCATCGCTCGTTCATAATCGAGCGATGTCGGTTGTTTCAATTGTTTGCATGTTCTATTCGGAGTAAAAATGGCTTTTTGTGCCTCGGCCGTATGTCGTCAAAGTAGTCAAACGTACAGCCAAGCAAAAAGTGCCATTTTTACTCCTAATAAAACAATATACTATTTTTTCCTTTTTTTATTTTTTATTAAAATAAGCTGCTTTAATTTGGAGCCTTCGATTGTTGATTTGATAGACAAACAGATTTTGATCGTACAGTATACCTAAAAAAATATTCCAATAAAAATGAAAATTTGTCCAATAAAATATTACATTAAAGTCATATTGCGACATATCTCATATTTTGTATTTTCACAATAATAACCTTCCATATTTTACAACGAAAGATAATATCTATATTATTTGGAAAATAAAAGCAAACTCTATTTTTTTAAAACGTAATTTGTTTAGTAAACAGGAAAGGAAAATATACAACTAAATATTACTACGATTCAGTTATTTTAACTACTAATAAGATATTTTTTCGATTCAATGCTGCCACCATGGGAGAATATCGTAAACAATCGGCATCGGCATATACAAATACAGGGGTTTAAATAGCGAATATACGAAAAATTTATTATAAAGGTATTCTAAAAGTTTTAGGGGGTATAATTTATGAAAATTCTAAAAGTAAGAATAAACTTGTATTATAATTTATTATTCAAGCTAATAAAACTTTTTAGATGAGTTCAACTACGGTAGCTAGCATAGTTTTACGCACCAATTTTGCAAACGGAGACATAACGGGCTATTCTGTTATAACGAATTTTTTTAAAGGTACACAATTATAATTTTAAAAGACGTTCATAAAATATTTAAGCACCAGTTGATTAAAAAGGGTTTAGGCATTAATATTGAAAATTATATTTTATGCTCTCGTAGTGTATGCCTATCTAATTTTTCGATTTTGTAATGGGCACTTTTTACACACTTGTTTCGTTAAACTGCTTGAATCCATTTTTGCTTTTGATCAAATCGGTGTGAGAAGATATGAACCTTTAAAATGTTGTTTCGGGAGAGTTGAATATCCGGGAAAGTTGAGTTATTGAACGTTATTGCACCCAACAAGGACGTAATTGCGCTCTCCTTCACGTGTTAACATTTTTTCTACAATTTTATTAACATTTGAAATTGTCACAACACAAAGCGATGCCCAGTAGTTCGGGTTCTTTTTCACTTAATTTTTACTATCCGAAACAGCGTTACATACACCGTTTTATAGTTTCAATAATTGCACTATTAAAAACTAAAATACTTAAATATTATGACAAAGCCACGATTTTGTATTTGTACACTTTAGTAATAATATTGTATCATTTTTTCTACATAAATGTGATGCATCTGATTTTCCATAGATAGCAAACTAAAATACTAAATCACCACATTACACCAAAACACTTTTATTTTTGCACTGGACGCGCGTTTTTGTTAACAATGTTAGCATCCACCACATCAGCAGATGAGTTTTTATCATCTGCTGATGATGCTAACATGATTAGCGAAAGGCGCGTTCAGTGCAAAAGTAAACGTGTTTTGGTGTAGTGTAGTGATTTAGTGTTTTATTTTGCAACACCAAAGGTTCCAACCCCCAACTGTATTTTTCTATAGTATATATATAAATAATTTTTCGTTGAATCTTTTGACAAAAACTGTTTATAATAGACGTATCTGCTAAAAACTAAAGTGTTCTAGAAGAGTTGTATTTAGGTATTTTTAAATCTTTTTCTTTGTTTTCTTTTGCTTCTGACCACGGGAACCATTTTTTGTGGGTTAGTCAAATCTGATTTACTAGCGAAAGGCCAGCTGGTTTCCAGGATTCAACGCAGTGATGTTTACAAAAAATAACTTTTTGATTTTATATTTTATTCCGGAGGCGAAAATCCCAATCTTTTTTAAAGAAATAAAGCCCCCACAAAGAAATACAAACGAGAAAACTGTCAGAAATAATAAAATATGAAAATTAACCAAGATAAAGGTAATATAAATAGTATCATACATACACTAACTTCATAAATATGCATGATCTCTAAAAAAATCAGTATTGACATGGATACACGTGATGGTGGCACCTGACAAAGATATCGAAAATTAAAATTTATATAATCTCGAGGTAATACTCGAATTTTGTGCTTTGACATGTGACTTTAAATAGATTAGTTAATTTATTCTAATTACTTTACTTGACTCTTATTCAGTTTTTGCCAACAACAAGGCAGATATAAATCATCAGACAAACTGATAAATTGTTGATATTTTTTTAAATATGCAAACTAACAAGATCATGGAAATCATAAGAGTTTTCAAACCAAATACCAACTGTACCGTGGATATAAATGGCACGATTTTACTTGAGTTAATTTTTTTATTTGTATTATCTTTTTTGTAATATATTTTTATCTTTTTAAGTTTCGTTTTTATGGCATTTAAAATAAAAAAATATAGAAAGTGTTCAAAAGTTGCACAGTTTAATTTTTATTTAAAAAACTACCAATTTTAAATGCCCCCATATATGATGAGAAAAATTATATGTATATTTACAAGTTAAACTTCAAAATTAACCTGGAAAAAAACACATAATATATGATATATATTATTTTTTATTAAATAATACCACAACTTCCATAATATAAAATATATTTTGGTAGTAATTGAATTATACTTCTTATAATTTTAATCAAAATAAATAAAGCAAAATGATTTGGACTTATTTTCACTTATCGATTAGTTTAGTATTTATAACTCAAAAGCTGCTAGACCGATTTTAACGAGGATTTCAATGATCTCTGATTTGTTGAATTTGTCTTCGCTCCGAATAGCAGAAAAGCTATTAAAGAATGAGAAAAATTAACGGAAAAAATTACATAGAAAATAAATAAATCAGGTTGGAGCCGCCATCTTTCGCAATTGTCAGCTGAGAACACGCACGCTTATAGCTTTGTAATAATTAATATTCATTGCAAATCAGTGACATACTAGGCATTATAGAATTCAACAAAAAATAGTGGAAAAATATAATATTCAAAATTAGAAAGGTATTGAAATATATAAAAATATATCGACATAGTTTTCATTCTGTCATTCCAGATCAGAACATTCGATAAATCACTCGTCCATATCAAAAAACTCTCACCTTACTGTTGTAGGTTCATATAAACACGAATTGTGAATATTTACAGAAGATTGTTTCAATATATTGCGAATTCGTATACCTAATTTAAAATATGTGAGCAGGAATATTTAAACTAATTTAAATTTTGCGAATATTCACTGCAAATTTTGAGTTTTTAGGTTATAATATACCGTATGATCGCGAGAAAACGGTGTCAGCGATGGCTATGGATTAAGATAGCTGTCATTTTATAATAAGGTAAATTTATATGGGAAATGTCATCGATGTTCATTTTCCAGCCAACTGGACGCCATTTTTTTAATTTGTAGTACGTTCAACGTTTTGACATGGTTTTGACTGCAAACTGGTAATTTTGTTGGAAATTTTTCAAAACCATCCAGTATCGAAATTCTTTATAGACATTCATTCTATGGTAGTTTTCGAGGTAGTTTCTAAATTTTTTTCATCGTTAATTCTCATTTATTGTACTAAATTGATATGCTGTTTTCACTTTTTAAATATTTCTTATGTTCCAATTGTTCTATGTATTTTATTTTTGTTGTTTTTTATTAATAAATATACAGCTATAGATCGTCTTCTACGACACAAATAAGTAGCTTCATCCATTATACAAAAAATTACTTATAAACATAACCTATGTACAATCACGGCCGACGACTTATTAACAAAAATGACAACTGTGGCAAAGAATAAAATTCCTCATTCAAGTGACACTTTCAACATGTGTTAAATAAATATAAGACGGTTTTATTTTACGATATTCGCAATTCGAATTTTGCAATGTACTTGAACTTACCTTTAGGCGCTCGGAAGGTAGCCGAGTCGGTATAGGTAGCCGAGGTAGCACCGTTCACTGGAAAAACAGACAGGGATACATTCATACCAAGGCATTCATCCAAGGACCTAATTCTAAAATAACTAACGCTCAGCAGGAATCAAGTGCAGATTACAACAGGTCTCTTCTTTACAGGGCATATCGCTCCCAAGTGCTACCTGTCCAATCTAAACCTCTTATAAGGAAGCCTTTGCTGTAGACTCTGCGTTAAAGATCCTGTTGCATCGAAGCACTTAATATATGACTACGAGGCTCTAAATGACAAGCGACTCTTTCTATTTGGGAAAGCAAGGCTAGAAGCAAAAAGGATAGAAGACTGGGTAACATAGAAAGATCACCAACATTTTATTTATTTATAAACATATAAATAGTTAAACTAAATCATAACTTATACTACTAATATTCTATTTATTTTATTTATTTATGAACGCATACGTAGATAATAAAACTACTAAATGGTTCTCATATTAGTTAGGCTGTTTTTAAGCTTCAGAAACATACTTTTTAATATTCTTTCTTGTTTCAAATCTCCCACTAAAAAATAATTAAAATTTAAAGGGACAAGCGAGTCGAGGTCACCCGCCCCACCACTCAAACATGAAAGGAACCGCACGAACTTTCGTCTCTTATTTTATCTCCTCTTTGATTTACTTCATCTTATGTCAAACAAAATAATAATATTCGTCTTAAAAACTCAGTTTCCGGAATAATACACTGGGATAAACTAGATTGAATTAAAAGTTAAACTACACCACTGCTCAAGGGCTAAGTGGTCTTATTCAAAATACACACAAAGATAACAATAAATTTACAGTTTAACCACTTGAGATCTGTTGAAAACTAGATTAAGGTTTTATAAATAATACCACATAAACATGTTGAAAAGTCGAAGGCAGTTGTGTCGCGCGTTCGCATAACAGTTTGTGTTTTCAAAATAGTTTGTTTGATGACAAGTGAATGATTTAACTTATAATAACTCGAATAATAATAGATTGGTAAGGAAATTATGTTAACTTAAATATTAATCACTAGCGACAACCTAGCGAACAGTTTGTTTACTCTGAATATTTCTTAAACAATATTTTGTATGAATGCGTAGGTCGTTTACACTCATTCTTTGTTATGAGAAATTACCGTTTAATATTATACTTACAGTATTTATAATAATAAATATGTCGTACATTAAAATATTACATTGATAGTGTTTTGGAAAATACCAATCCCATCAGAAACACACATATAAAAAATGCCAAATCTCGCAACACAATTTTTCCGCTATAAAAAGTTATGAGATCTCATGCAAAACCAAGTCAGTTTATTTTATTTGGTTTCTCTTTAAGCAGCTATTCAACAATTTTGTTATAAATTGTTTTGTATCAGTATTAGTCGTCTTTATTTCTGTAATAATTATAAAGACTTGGCAATGGCACAGCTCCATAGTTATAAAAGAATCTACCAGCAAAAACAAAACACTAAATTACCACAATACACCAAAATACTTTACTTTTGCATCTTAGCGAAAGGCGCGTCCAGTGCAAAAGTAAAGTGTTTTGGTGTATTGTGGTGATTTAGTTTTTATTTTGCTGGTAGATAATTATTTTATAATTATAATAGTGCTGTGGCAATTGCATACTGCTCAGCAGTTGTAGACTCTGACGACGCATCGGTCAACGCATCAGCGGATAGTGAGAATTGGCTTAAGCCATACTGGCTTAAAAACTTTTTTGTGGTAACATTTCTTAATACTGCCGTAATAGTCAACGCGCTCATGTTTTATGAACAAGTAAATAAATCTAATATATAGAATTCTCGTGTCACAGGTTTAGTTATCCTCCGAAATGGCTTAACCGATTTTGATGGTCCACCCAATTTTTTAATTTTTTTGGACAAAATTTTTATTTTTTATGATGTGGCATTAAAAAATAAATACAACGCTAAATTTTCACCCTTCTACCATCAACCTATTCTACCCTATACTTTATACCTCTATACCTTCTACCAGCTACCCCTATTTTTTTATAATAATCCTAGAAATAATTTATATCGCAAAACAACGTTTGCCGGGTCAGCTACTATGATATGAAAACTTTAATAATTTGATTTATTAATAATTCCTTATTTGTTAAAAAATTATTGCTTTAATTTATTGGAAGTAATGTTTACACTTTAGCATTGAAAATTGGAAGCAGTGCTGAAAAAAGGAAGCACTGCTGATTCAATATATTACCTTAAAAATAAAAAAAAAATCATTAGACAAATATTGTTAAATACCTACACTCAACGGCACGAAAACGGGTACTTTAAAATTTTAATGTTTTTTAAACTTTTATATATTGTGTTCTAGTGGACTGATTTTGATTAGTTTTTAAGCTTTTTGTAGCAAAATTATTTGACTTTTTACTGTCTCTTTCTAAATTAAAAATGGAAGTTTCCATTTATAAACTATACGAGGAAAAACATATTGATATTTTGGTGAAAGTTTGAAACACTCTGTGAAATATGGTTAGCACAGGAAAGAATTTAACAATAATTATATCATCTAGATGCATATTTTCTCGACAGTTCATTACTCAATTTCGCTTTATTTTTGTTGGGGATATTCACTTTTGAAGAAAAAAACATTTTTTTATAATTTTTACATTAAAAACATGCCTTTGCTTGTGGTCCTCTCAAATAGTGTTTATGAATTATGCAATTTCACAGTCATTGAAAAATACTATTATTATTGTCTATTCCGCAGTTACCCTAGCATAGGGCTTCAATGAAAACCTTCCATCTTATTCTGTTTTCTGCAATTTTCTTAGCTTCTAGCCATAATGTTCTTGACTTCTCTAGCTTTTCCATTACGGTTCTGTGCCATGTTTGTTTTGGGAGTCCCCTTTTCCGTTGTCCCTGCGGGTTTCTGTCAAGGACATTTCTTGCGATGTTGTCGTTAGTGAGACATCTCGATGCGATGCTCGCCAAGATGCTGGCCGTGCTGCTCGCCAGGATGCTTACCGCGATGCATCCTACGCGCACTGTTTTAAAACCGCGAATAGGTGCGCGTAGGCATACTAAAACATTTACCATAGCCGTTTTATTAAGCACCAGTTTATGTAATAGTAGTTATTAATTAGTATAGGCTTGGTGCACATTTCAGTTGATTTCAACAAATTCCTACAGCAGCGAGTCAATGGCAAAAATCAGAAATTATCCCTATCTATTTCACGTCGCCGTCATGTTGATCGCATAGAATAATATTGAAATCGTGGTTTTGTTATAATATTAATAAATTAATTATATTTGTTATATATTATTAAGTATTTTAGTTTTTTGCTAGTGCAGTTATTGATACAAAAAAGAGATAAAACACTCAGGTACCAGGTTTGTGTGATGTAACGCTGTTTCGGGTAGTAAAAAATAAATGAAAAAGAATTCGAACTAGGTGTCGGCGTCGTGCTGTGTTGTGACAATTTCAAATGTTAATAAAATTGCCGAAAAAATGTTAACGCATAAAGGAGAGCGCAATTAGGGCGTTGTTGAGTGCAATTACATTCAATAACTCAACTTTCCCGGATATTCAACTCTCTCGAAACAAAATTTTATAGCTTCATAGTTTCTCACACCGATTTGATCAAAAACAAAAATGGTTTCAACCAGTTCGACGAAACAAGAGAGTAAGCAAAGTGTTCGTTACATAATCAAAAAATTAAAAAGACTATGAGAGGATAAAATATAATTTGCAATATTAATGGTATACTTTTTTTAATCAACTAGTGATTAAAGTACTTGCTATAAATAAATAAAGTCCATAAACTAATTTCGATTTTGAAAATAGCTACTGTCACTAGAAACTTGCCATGACATCAGCCCTCTTTGTTGCCATTTTATTGAAAAGTTGCTCTTTATTCAAAATCTGAGCTAGATAGGTATAGGACACCCTAATATATTATGTACTTTGAAAGAGCATTTGAATCTGTGTCGATTTATTTTAAAAAATAGGTTGTCGTATTTGAAATAACAAAGTTTTTATGTAGAATAAATATTTAAAATAAATCATCAATTTTTGGTACCCCTGTATAAATTTAAGGCAGCAATACAATTTTTCATAAAGTTTATTTCTCTATCTTTAAACTCAGCACAAGAATTAATTCCAAAAAGTAATGTACAGGGTGTTGATAATCTATTCCATTGTAGCATACATATTTAATTAACTTTAAATATCTCAAAAACCAAAGCTTGTGAACATATTAATATATAATAACCCTTATAATAAAGGTCTTATTTTGTGTCCATGGATCCAAATATGAAATAAAATACCGGGTGTTCCATAAGAAATATAATAACTTGGGTGTAAATCTTAGTTCTGACATACCCTGTACATTTCAAATAATGTTAAATTATGCACATGGTCTTCCCACATATGCCCATAAAATATTTTGTTTCTACACATTTCCGTTTTCGTATAATCAACCGAGGCGAATGAGTTGCGCCACTCTATATATAGGTGTTCAATTTAAAAAAGTATTCGTGATCCACTCACACTTTTTTGAGCCACCCTTTAGAAGTTCAAATCTTTTCCTCAAATACATCCTAATACATACTTTATGTCTGGACTACAAAATTCATAAGTTTATTATTATAGGAGCTGCAGATGCCCGACGCACTATTGCCGGACCCTGTAGAATCAAGCTGATTACATTGTTGGTGATAAATTAAATTCTAGTATTGTGAACATTTTATTCCACCCGACTCTAGTTCGACATATGCTCAACGAATTGTGATCCTAAACCGATCAATCAAATGTAAAGTTTCAGGCATCCGCGTCCGCTTCTCGCAAAAAACAAAAATTTTGTTTTTTAGGAAGCATCGCGCTGAACATCTAGGTGCGTGGCGAGGTGCGAGGCTCCAGTATGTTTTGACGCATAAATTTGTACATGTTTGATTCAGCATCGCCGGATGGCGAGGTGAATGGCGCGCATCGCATCGAGATGAAATGCCCCGCACTATGTTTGTACGATAGTCGCGATGCATCCTACGCGCACTTACTCGCCGTTTTAAAACTGTGTGCGTAGGATGCATCGCGGCTAGCATCCTGGCCAGCAGCGCATCGAGATGCCCCACTATGTTTGTACCCTTAGAGTATGCCCTATCTATCCCCACTTTCGTATGATTGCTTATCATACGTCATATTATATTATATAACACTTCTTGCTTATCTCAGTTTGGCCAATTAAATGCAATAGTTCTTCGTTTCGGATCATGTTCGGCCAATATATTCAAAGAACTCGTCGCAGGCATCTATTAACAATGTTTGTAGCTTTGATGTTAGGGTTTTGGTCACTTTTCATGTTTTACATCCATACAAGAGAACCGATTTTATACTACTGTTGAATATTCTCAGCTTAGCATCAGTGTTGATGTGTCTCGAGGCCCATACTATTCTGAGTTGACCGAATGCTTGTTGAACCTTTTTGGATCGCTGGCTCCACCGTCTTTATTTATTATGCCGCCCAGATATATAATCTCCTCAATGTCCTCAATCACTTGTCCCGAAATGTTAAACGGTGTGTTTTAGTAACCCTAGCAGAGAGGGTTTTAAATCCAGAAGTTGTATCCGCTATAGTTGCTTTAATTGCAGATTGAGATATCAAAATTAATCAGATTGACCACCATACAGCCCAGATCTAAATCCTATCTAGCATGTCAAATTTTTCTTAATTCGTTAATCGGGAACTCGGGATCATTTTATTATCAGATGATAAAATGATTATATAGAAAGAAAGAGCGTTACAACTTTACTTCGTATATTTAGACCAATCTAACCTGACACATCAAGTCTGCGGATTTGACATGTAACAGGCTTGGCCCGCCAAAGGCTTAACCTCCGACAGACATGGTCCGCCACAAAAACACAAAGTTTTTATCCGCAGGCCAAATCTTCTCTGGTGTATGGGTTAATAGTTAGTTTAAATAAATACTTGATAAATATAAGTAATACCATGTATTTTTGCAT